CCTATGGAACTTCAAGCGTGTACATTGGATGTTTCTACAAAGAGATATGCTTGAACGATTGACAGAAGGTCATCCTGATCGTCGTTTTCAAGCTTCATTCATCTTCTTTTGATCCCGAAGCCAATCCTAGAGCTCTTTTTCCTTCAAATCTTCATCGTGAATCTTCCGGTGACCTCCAAAGCTATCAAATCATTCTCAAATGCTTCTCAAATCATCCCGATTGTTCCTCAAGTGACGGTGCCGGGCTCAAATTCCCTGATTTTGACTACAAACAACACAAAACTCGAACCAACGCCCGGTAAACATAACTTGAGCTAAAATTGAGACTTGCAACACTTTAAAGCTAGGGAAACCATCAAAATCCGATCTCAACACACATCAAATGCGTGTCAAAATACGGACTTATCACCCAACTAACAAGTGCGATGGATCAAGGGAAACAGGAAATAGCAAGTAAGTGATTAGGTATTATTATCTGTTAATAACTCCCTGATACAATACTTTCGCTATGGCTCGTCGGCCGTTCGTCTTACAAGGCAGTAGAAGTGCTGCGAGTAAGGATGCTATAGCTAGAGTGCTAAGAATAGAAAGTTGCTAACCCTTTACAATGAAATAAATGCTTCTATTTATATCACCAATGGGCAGTTGTCTATGCTGACGTGGAGGACTGTGGGTGGCTGGTGTCCCAACCACCAAATCTTTAGCATTAAATGCACTTCCCGCCAGAATCTAGGTTTCCCGCCTAACTGGTGGGGACGTTCGTCCGGCCGGGGGAGTGAGTTGCTCCTGGTGGCTTGCAAAGGGTATTTGGCCGTTCGTCCCCTGGCCCTTGGTGATTTTCGCCATGTGGACTGGATTGCCTCCAACGGCTATGGGCTTGCTCTGACGACGTCCGTCGTCATTCTGATGGCCTGTGGGCCTGCTCCTTGTCGATGGCATAGACGTTCGTCGGATGGGCCCCTGAGCCTGAGGCTCTTCTTCAGACGTTCGTCCGAACCGGGTAAGTGAGCCTGTCAGGTTAGCCTAGTGACCTATCTGGACGTACGTCCGGATGAAGGGGTAAATGGGCCGAACCTCAGTTTGGGCCATTAACCCAACAAGTCCAATGGGAGAGAAGGGAATATCACTTTCTCTTTAAAATAACAAGTCCATGGTTCAACACTTCAACCTTATACAAGCTCCATAACACAAAGATCCATTAACTTTTAAAGCGAGTGAGATGATGAATAAAGGCAGAGATATAAATTATTGAGCATATGATGAAAAATTATGAAATAATATGATAGAATGAAGGATAAATTTAAAAAAAAATGTATAATAGTGTATACTTTCAAATTATTTTTTAGATAAGACTGGAGTGTAGCTTATAGTGTAAATAGGTTTGGGCCGTAAAAAAATGGGTTAATTTAGGTTATACTTCATTTGTTCTTAAATAAGTGCAACGGTTCACTTTGCACGTTCGTCGATGCGTAGCTTTAACCATTTGAATATATAATTCTCTATTAGTAAAAACTATTAAAAATCAAATTTTGAAAAATTAGAATAATACAAATTTAGAAAATATATTTTTGAATAATTCATCAATACATTAATTAATAAAATGTAATCAAAGAAAACAGTGTGAATAGTTCTAAAAAGTGATTTTTTGCCATATCATCTTATGAAGAAAAATGTAGGGGTGAGTTCATTCAGTTCTTGAAAGAAAATTAGGAACTTTTGAAGGACATTTAATCCAATATCCATTCGGTTCTAGACGTTTTTAGAAAAACGATATTTATGGATTTTTAGAAAAGTGATATTAATGGATTTTTTGGAAGAACGTTATAAACAGGGTGGCTGTCCAATTTTCATATTACCAAACAGACTCATAATATAATGTACTACAATGGCCTTATATGAGTCATAATTATTTATTATTTTTTCTTTATACTATTATAAATTACAAACTAATATATAATACCTTTTTAATTGTAAAATTTATCCTTTTTTGTTTACATACATAAACATAAAATTTATAACAAAAAATTATATGACCTGCAACGCACGGGTGATAGTAATGATGGTCATGCTAATATCTTCATTCCTGAAGATCTTCATTCATGAAGATCTGTTAAAACGCACAGATAAAGATCCTATAGCTGTAATTGTTCAGGGCATCTTCCCAGAGTATGTTGAATCAACAAAAAATATAAGTTGTTTGCATGACCATGCAATGTTGGCACCCACACTAGCTGTTGTTGAGGTCGCCAATGACTACATGACATCACTCAATGTTGGTGAGATTTCGAGAACATATCGTAGTTCAGACAGCGTTTCAAAAGTAGATTGCACAACCGATTTGATGACCGAATTGTATACATACACCAGAATTCCTGAATAGCATCAAATTGTCTGGCGTACCAAATCGTCGGGGTACACCAGTATCCTATTATGACTTCATATGCTATGACTATGAATAAAAGTCAAGGTCAATCATTGTCACGTGTAGGATTGTTATAAAAAAAACAGTCTTTACCCACGGTCAATTGTATGTTGCGGTTTCAAGGGTTACTGATAGATTATTTAATATAGAGAGAAGGGAGAGCTAGAGAGATAAAGTGATATGTATAATGAATTCCAATCAACCATCCTTTTACATGGCTCCCATATGGAGTATTTATAGGAGAAAAGAGGGTTGGGCTTTCAGGTTTGGGCCTGGAAGGCCCAGTTACGATAAAAGGCCAATAAATGGCTAATAAATGGTATCTAATCTATTCTAATGTATACATCTGAATAAATAAAGTGTACAAGGAAATAAATGCTATCTACTGAGCATATGTGGGCCGCTGTCTGGGCCCAATAGTCGTGATACCCAGGGTCCGAGTCTATATACTCTATCAGTTACCAATCGTCGGGGTCTGAAAATTTTAATTTGTGATGAGGCCGGATGGAGGCACCACAGATAGTCAGATATGACTCAAAATGTTGTTTTCAAGGAAGTGTTCAACAATGTGTAGGGTTATATTATAGTCATTTATGTAATGTTATTATCTTTATTAATTTCTTTTGTATTTCCCAACATTTTACAAATGCTTAATCCTCTTTTTGATGTAGTGATATAATATGTGCCCAACTATGTTAATATATATTTATCATATATCTTACATATCTCTTGAGGATATATCATTCTTGCTACATTATACAAGTTTTATGTAACAATTAGGCCCATTCAATTATTTCCAGCAATTAATTTAGCAAAATAATTATAAACTGTTCATCACACGAGTGATATACTAGTATTGATAACACGGCAGGTCAAATGTAATCGGCCGTCTCAATGATACATGGTATTCACTTAATTAGAAATTGTTCAATACTATGTATAACACCCAAATATACACTAAATTCTAAAATAGGATTATCTAGGTTTATTCCTAAAATAAGACTTATCTAGTCATTCTAAAAGAAAAATTGACTAGAACTTCTCAAAATAGTAGTGAATGAATCCAATTTTGAAAATGATATATTGAAGGGAAAAGTACAGAAAACGTACTTGTGGTTGGATCCATTTTCAGATAGAATCATGTGTTTCATTTTTTTTATCAAAGTGGTTCATGTGTTTGAATTTTGTTATCACAAGAGGGTCATGCCGTTAAAAACGCATGGGAAACATGGTTAATAGTAACTCCGATTATTAAAAGTGTCCGAAAAATTAAAAGACAAAACCCGGAAGATGCACCTCAACAAGACGAATGCTAGACAATCTTTTTTTTGTTTCCAGCTACCCTTGTCAACGAAAAGTCCACATAAATATTGATATTTACGAAATCATTTTTGAAAAATAATTCAAACAAATCCAAAAAACCAAATGTGAAAGTGGTTTGCAGGTTATCTTAACAAAACACACTTTCTGATATTTTTCTTTTAATTTTTCACACTTTTAAAAATCGGAGTTACTACTAATCGTGTTTCTTAAGCGTTTTCAACGACGTGAACCTCTTGTGAGAAATGAATTCAAACATATGAATCACTTTAATAAAAAATGAAACACATGATCATATTTAAAAAAAAACGTGCTCAACCACAAATATTGTTTCCGTACGTTTTCCTATATTGAATGCAACAATGCTTGTTTACCCACTTTTATATCCACCTTATACCCACCATGTTTGTGGAAGTTTTTTTTGTTTGTGAACCCGGGTTCACAGACAATGTTTTGTCTGTGCAAAATATTGTCTGTGAGTCGAGGTTCACAGACAAAAAAACACTTCACAAACATAGGTGTGTACAAAAGTGAGTATAAGAGTGGGTACAAAGATCAATTTTGTATTGAATGTCCTGATTTTATCAAAGTTTTTTTGGAAGAAGGTGGCTTATATTAATAAGAGAGAACGCAAGCAAGTAACACACAGACAAAGAACCTCCACTCTACCGTCTGCCCTTGAACCAGACTTAGAATCTGCCACCTCAAAAGAAGCAACCAGAATCGTTGATCCTGAATTGGGCATACCTGAGCCAATGACTAGTAGATGAGATTCTCCACCACCTGCCTTACGTTCAATAGTCTTGACAACAATAAAAATAAAAGCAAACAGAAACACGACGTGTCCACGTGGGAAAATAACTAAAACATAAATAAGTCTAAAATAAAAAATAACTCCAATTTGTCAAGAGCACTTTGCTCTGTTTGCAAGTGATTGTGCTTAAATAAAAGCACTTTTTGGGAAAAAGTGATTAGTAGTAAAAGTTGCTAGTGTTTGGTAAAATAAGTGCTTTTTGTGTAATAGAAAAAGTAAAAAGTAGATTCTACACGAAAACTGAGAAAATAAAAAATTGGTAATGTTTGATAAAATAAGTGTTTTTTTCTTAAAAAAAGTCACAATCACTTATTTTAAGTGATTGCAAACAGAGCCTTTATCTTCACGGCCGGTCTGGCTTATCAAAGTTTTAAAAAAAATTATCTCACTTAATTGCTTTCAAAAAAAGGAAAAAAATCCTAATATGCCTGAATCCGTTACGAATGACGGAGGGCTTCCCTAAATCCTAATACGCCTGAATGCCTCATTATTCTGGAAGTCACGGGAAGAACCGCAGAACCTCATCGAACATTCTGATATGTTCTTTCATCTGTCCATAAATCCTATCTTCTGTGCTTTCTCAAACTCAAACCGATTCATCATCTAGTTCTGGAGACCACGCTTTCCGATTGTGATACTGTTCAGTAACCTGCAAATCTCTCATTCCATCATCGCCGGCGTTGATCGAAGATGAGCACGGTTGTGGACGCGATATCTCAGCTCCTCAACATCCCCGGAGCACTCGACAGAATGATATCGCAGGAGGGCGGCGAGAACAAGGGAGCCGGCAACATTCCGGCCGACATTCTCGAAACTCCGAAGGAATACATTTTCCACCTCGATGTTCCCGGCTTATCCAAATCCGACATTCAGGTACGCGTTATTTAGGCGTTCAGATATACTGTTCGGTAATAGTTGTAATACTAGTGAATTAGGTTATCTGAGAAGTAATTGATGGTGGAGTTCAGGTGGCCGTGGAAGGTGAAAACACGCTGGTGGTAAAAAGCAACGGAAAAAGGAAGCGGGAGGATGGAAATGAGGAAGAAGGATGCAAGTATCTGAGGTTGGAGAGGAAGAAGACTCCACAGAAGTTGATGAGGAAGTTCAGGTTGCCGGAGAATTGCAACGTGTCGGCCATCACCGCCAAGTGTGAGAACGGGGTGTTGACAGTGGTGGTGGAGAAGCTTCCTCCTCAGCCCAAGTCCAAGACGATTGAGGTTTCAATTTCCTGAATAGGCTGCTAGTTGGCTTTGTTACTGTTTCACTGCAGATGGCAATTACTAAGATGGATCAGCAAACTTGTCTCTGTTTTAGTTCCATTGTTACAGATTTTGTGGATGATAATGAGTAGTATGTTGGTTGGTTCAATGGTTCTCCGATAGTCTTTTCTTCTCATTTACAATTTAAGATTTGCTTGTTTTCACAGCAATTTAAGTTTTTTTAAAGATTCAGTGTGGGTGGATATGAGATGGCAGTAATTAGGGGTTTATACTCCGAATCTAACAATTTGGGACTGCTATATTGCGTGAGAGAGTTGCAAAAAAAGAACCCTAACAATTTGGTCAATTCCTAACCAATAAAAACTGTCGGGGCTAATGTATTCCCAATGTTGAGCGTCTGTAACATGAAGCAGAGGGACTGGAAGATAGCCATCGACATCACACAGAACACATCAAAGACATAAAGAACGATTGAATTTGAGACCTCTACAAGAGATAGTCTATCTCAACCGCTAATTGGGACGTTGGGCATGAAAATAGTAATTGGGTAGACGTGGGTGCTGCAAGTGGCTGGGGACTGAAACCCCGGAGATCCAATGTAGGCTGCTATAAACAAAGATGGCTAGACATAGTTGGACTAGATCCAATGGGGTCAGGCCGGGTTGGGCCTTTTGTGGTTGGGGGAAGGCCCGGGACTGGCCCGGTTTCCACCGGGTCCGGTTCGGGTCGGGCCTCGGGCCGGGTTGTAATTTTTTTTTTCTTTCCTAACTACCCTGACTCCCCCCACCCCCCAATAACATCAAGCCCAATCCGGGGAAACCCAAAAAAACTGAAAAAACAAAAAAAAAACAGTTTTGGCCCGAACCGGGCCCGACCGGGTCCCCATTTTTGCAGCCCGAGCCCGCCCCAGCTTAAGCCTTTCAAACCGGGTCAAGGACCGGTTTCGGACCCGAATCACCGGTCCGGTCCCGCACAGTAGCGGGCCGGGCCTGTTCTCGGGCCGGGTGGCCCGAACCGGGTCCATGCCTAGGTGAAACATACCCCTAAAAGTTTAGGGCCACGATCTGATGAGACAGTTGATACAAGATCATAGAAAGTGAATGAGGTTCTTTTTTTTAAGGGTGAATGAGGTTCTAATCTAAGTACTTTTGATACTTACCATTTTGTGAAGCGGACATGAAACGCGAGTCAATACAGTGTAGTACCTCGAGGACCTTTATTATGCTACCTTTATGTAGTACTCCCTCCGTCCCAGGGAGAAGTTCCTGGGTTGACTTTCACACATATTTAGGAAATAAAGTTATTGAAGGGTAAATTTTACTGTTTGGCACTGTTTCGACACTGTTTGGCACTGTTTCGACACTGTTTGGCACTGTTTCGACACTGTTTGGCACTGTTTTGCACTGTTTGACACTGTTTTGATGTAGGATAACTTTCCATTTAGGGAAATGGTAACTTTTTGTTGGGACTACCAAAAAAAGAAAGTGGGAACTTCTCCCTGGGACGGAGGGAGTATATCCAATACAATTGATCAAAACCGCCGTCGGGCAAGTAAAGGTTTGTCGAGATAAATCAATCCAGTCCCAACACTATTAAAAAACAATCAATTCTTCTATTTAGCCGGTTGAACAAAGCTATTGTCTGTTAAAGTGATATGGAAGTCCACGGTGCAATAAATTTTATTTTTTCCTTTTCTTTTCATTTGTTTTTTTTTCGTTTTTTATTTTCCAGCTGACTTTTTCTTCCTGGATGCGTCAACTAGTTCTTCCTGGGCGGCAGGCAAAGGTGGTTGAAGAAGGTGTTGCCGATGACTCGATGAGCGGAGGGCAGGGAATGATACGAGAGACGGGAAGCGCGCGCAAGTCTCGAGATGGTTGTGGGCAACTGGAGGCGAGAGATGGCCGTCGAGATCGAGGACGTTTTGGGCGAAGGTTGGTAACGACTACGTCGACTGGGTAAGTTATGGTTGTGGGTGATCCGTGGCAGATCGGTGGCGACGAGCACCGGCGGCGGTTGTGGAAGTCATGGTCGCCGGCGGTTGAGGGAGTTGTGTGTTAAGGAGGGATGCTCTAATTTGCTGGAAAGAAAGAAATGTGCACGAGCGAGAAGAACGAAGGGTGCAGGGAATAAGGTTGTTAACAATTCGAGTAGAGTCCGAACATTCAAAGCTCGAGTTCGGCTTGATAAGGAATTAGTGGTGTTCGGGTTCGAGCTCGAAGCTTAGCAAGCTTTACAAATGAGACTCGTGTTCGGCTCGATAGACAATTGATGTTCGAACCGAGCGCCGATAAGCTATACATATATGCCCGAATTTAAACTTTTAAGTGATGCTCGTTTATAGGCTCGTGCTCGTATGATTCGACAAGTATTCGATTCGTTAATAATCATATTTAAATTCATAAAATCATACTAATTATATTTAAATTTTGACATATATATTATATTAATATATAATTTAAGGGTGTTCGATAGACTCAAGTCCAAACCCAGCCGAATACTACTTTGTTCGAGCTCGGCTCGATTAATTTTTCGAACTTAAAACTCAGCTCTTGTTCGAGTTCGAAATTAAAGCTCGTTAAGCTCGGCTCGTTGGTTTGAAACCGAGTTCAAACTCGAATAGTTCGATAAAAGCTCGGTTCGTTAACAGCCCTAGCAAGGAAGAAGAAATGGTCGGCGAGGAAGAGAGAAAAAGGAAAAAGGGGGGGGGGGGGCTCGTGGAATGCCCGTGTGTATGCCTACTGGTTGACCGGATCTCAACTGGCTAAATGGCCAATTTGACTGTTTTTTAATATTTCGAGGACTGAATAGATTCAATATAAAGTATAAGGGTCTAATTGATTTTTTGTAATAGTACGAGGACTTATTTAACAGTTTACTCTTTATTTTACTACTAGTACATACTTTATTGTTAGTAAGAATGATGCACAAAGTTTCACCTTTTTACTATTACAAATGAAAGTGTAAAATATTGTACGTCTAATCTTTTGTGAGGATGGTAAATTTAAAATTGATATGCTTTATTTTACATGATAAGCTATGTCGCAGGGAAACGCGAAAGTCTTGAGGAAACGGTAAACGAGAAACGTCGATTTTTGCTCAAAAAATGCTTGTTTAGAGAGTTTAAAAGGGTTTTCGTAGAGTTTCCGTAACGGAAACGTGCACTTCCTCGAGAGTTTCAATGCTACATAAATGACAAGGGTACAAGAATGAAGTTCATATAATAAATTAAGAGGCTGTTTGGTAGACCAAAAATGGGCTGATCAGCCTTAAAGTGGAAAAAAAATGCCAAACACCTGTTCGTTGGGCTGTTGTGGCTGATTTTCCTTATCAGATGAAAAAACAAGCTCCCCCTTACTTTTTGGGCTGAAAACTATTATTTTACTGTTAGCTATTGCAAAGACCCCTATGCCCCTGTATTATATCTGGAAACTGGCTCTAATCATTCGCTTGTTTTCACTGGTTGGGCAACTATAGAATAGGCAGGATGCGGACTGGTTTTCTGAGTTTATTGTCGACGACAAAACAAGAAAACATCCCTATTTTAAAGTACATAAACAGAAAGAAAAACGAATTCAAATTATAAAATCCTTGTTAAAGAACACAACTTCTGGATTTCTAGCTAGTAAAAACAATGCGGAGTATATCAAAATGTTCATAGTAAGGATAAGATTAGTCCTGGATGTTTAAGGGCATCTGGGCATGGAATCAACGAATGTTGGAGGTTGGAGATAGAATGGTCATCTGGTCCTTCGACACTTCAATCGACAAATGGGAATCGCTGATGGCAGAGTAATTTATATTCTTAGATCTAACAAAACAAACTAATACCCTTTTTGGTAATTTTACATTTAAACAGCCATATCAGCCAATATATCACCAAACACTTTCACTTCAGCAGATTCAGCCATTTCAGCAAATTCAGCCATTTCAGCCGTTAAAGCCGTTACCAAACAGGGCCTAAAACTTTTAATTACAGGTTAGCATTGAGAGAATTGGTTAACTCATAATACTCTTTCACTTCTCCAAACTTCTTAATCCTACTTTTGCACTCTTAAGTTATTTTACTCCATTTAGAAACTTCAAAAATTTAACCATAACTAGTTCTTTAACATAAGGTGATGGATTGAAGTCCAAGGGTATGTATGGTACTGGGTTCCCCAATCCCCAAAATTTGCCAAAACCACACGCCCTATATATGGGCTATTACAAGTTTTTTTTAAGCATGGGCACAAGTTAAGGTACAAACTTGAAACTAGTGAAATTTAGTTCTACTTTCCGAAATAATGATGATATCAGATACGTTGACAGGAATGACTAGAGGTATATTTTGCTCCACACCCGTAACAAAAATGTTGTCCACACCTGCAAATAAAGAATCACTCATTCTCTAAACAATTCAAATAATAAACATATACGCTCAAAAAGAAAGATTTGGTTTGAGGCCAGGTTTTCAATAGATAAAACGTAAGACCAAGTTTTGATTTGAGTTCGGGTTCCCAATATATACAAAATGAGATTAGGAGCCCGTTTGGTAGCACGAAAATCGGCTGATTTGGCTGATTCTGATGAAATTTATGACGTTCTGGCTCAAGTGGCTGCATTGGTTGATTTCGTTGATTTAAGAATAAATTATTTTTAAAATACTATCGTACATTTTATTAATAAAGTAAAGAAAAAATTATATGTAAAAATAGTTAAAATGGTCATCTACAATAACTTCGGCCAATACAGCCAGAAAATATAAGCTTATAGGTTTCACAAAGAGGAAGGAGAAGACTCCTCTCAAAAGATGTATATATAGTCGTACACTACTCTCACTCAGAAGGAGAGTCAACCCTTTTAATCAGGAGAAAAAGATGCCTTACAAATCAAATAAGTCAGAGGTCAACCGAAGACAAACAAATGGTGTTAAGACCCGAGGTTCCATCCTAAAAGGTCAACCTGATATGAGGAGTAATCCAAAGTCTTATAGTATTTAATGGTTTTATATCTTTCCGGTGTGGGACAAATGCTTCAACACGTCCCCTCAGCCCGAATCGGGCTGGACAATATCGGGGTGTATAATCGGACCAAACAAACCCTTAACAAGCTACCCTTAATCATGAGTGCTAAATAAGCCGTCAAACCACAACTGCAATTGACTCTGATACCATGTTAAGACCCGGGGTTCCATCCTAAAAGGTCAAGCTGATAGGAGGAGTAATCCAAAGCCTTATAGTATTTAATGATTTTATATCTTTCCAGTGTGGGACAAATGCTTCAACAAATGGGGAGCC